CGAAGGAGGAACAGACAGAGGGGCCGGGGACAGACAGGGCTGGGCTGGGCTGGGCAGATCTGTCTGTCTGTCTGTCTGTCTGTCTGTCGTGCGTGCGTGCGTGCGCTGCATGCTGCGCTGGCCGTGAGTGAGTGCCGTGTTGATATGAATCACTCAGCCAGCCAGCCAGCCAGGCAGCACAGTCAGTCAGTCAGATGTGTGCATGTGTAGGTGGGTGAGTAATTGTTTGTGTAAGTACTTACCTTAGTGTGTAGATTATTGAGTGTGTGGACTGTGTGCGGCACTCACTGCACACACACACACACACACACATTCCATCGCCTGCGTTTTTGTCCATCAGCCGTGAGGCAGACAGGACAGGAGCCAGATCGATCGAGGACACTCGATTAGTCGATGCTGGCGGGCGGGCGGGCGTGCGTGGCGACGTGGGTGTGGGGTGGTGTGGGCGCTAAGCGAGGCGTTGTTTGTGTACGCTAGCGATGCATGGTCGGTCGTGTGAGTCATGAGTGAGCCGTACGTGGGAGGGAGCACTAACTCACTCAGTCAGTCACTCACGTGTGTGTGCGTGCTTCTTTGTCCTACGTCTGTCGGCTCTGTACATCATGTGTATGCGCTGTTCGAGAAGCTGTATGTATGTCATGCCTGCCGTGCAGGAGTGAGTCATGTGTGTGTACCTCTCTCCCTCTCTGTGTCTGCCTCTCTGTCTGTCTGTCTGTCTGTCTGTCTGTGGCACAAGCATCGCTTTGAGTGCTTGGGCTTGGCCTTTTCGTCTTGTGTGCATATGTGTGTGTGCGCCTAGCTACGTACAGAGTGTGTCAATGAATGAATGAATGATGAGACTCATGAGTGGTCGACAAGTGATGCAAAATAATGACGCTTAGATCGATCGATGTGTTGTCAATTGATTGGTCCATTCATACCAATAGATATCCGTCTGCAGAACCACACGATAATAATGCGGCGGTGGTTGGTAGAACAGATCTCATGCTATGTCCACTGCAAATGGCCGGCAACAAGTGGCTACATAAGCGGCAAGCCAGGGTCGGCAGTGAGAGCGCCCGCTGCGCTGCCGCGCAGACAGACGTCTGAGCTCCTCGACGGCCACTGAGGCCTGCTTGGCCAGGATCAGAGAGAGGAGGGAGGGGGAGTCGCCGAAACAAGCGGCACAGGGTCAAAAAGAGGACGCCGCCCCTGACGAGAGCAGCCCCATGCACCGCAACACAACCAGTACATAAGTATGGGAGGGGCTGACCCTGCTCGCTGAGACTGGATGAGCTGCCGCTACACCGCCGCGACAGCAAGAGCCCTCAGGCTGACGCCGTACGACAGTCGTACGATGCCGTGGAGGGGGACGAGAGGGAGTGTCAGAGCCGATGAACGTCAGCTCAAATAGTCGCTGTCCATAACGAGCGGGCGGTGTTTACTGCGCGGGACGACGAATGCATGGAAGAATGCACTCCCTGCCTCTGTCGAGTTAGAGCATGATATGGTAAACGGCATCTTGTCGAAGTGAGCGGCTGCGAGTTGGGAGGCTGGCATGAGTTTGTTTGTCATGGTCTTCGTGTGTGTGTCATCCTGCAGCTGAAGGCTGAAGCGGCGGGCATCGAGCACAGCCTGGACCAGCTGCTGCAATTGGGCGTGCAGACGGGGCGCACCGCTCGAAGACCAGCCCTGCCCTCAGTGAGTCACAGTCGGCCGGCCATGTTGGACGATGAGGTACATCGCAGGCTGATCCGCAGCGAGCGAGAGGTGCGACTCCTCTCTTTAACGCTCAAACGCTCAAAAACGCCTCTCTTTTCTCTCCCTCCCTTCTCTCTCTGCAGTGCGACTGTCTTGGTGGCCTTGTGTCTTTTGCAACGACCCACTGTTGCCAGCCTGAGCTGCCCTCCATCCATCCGCCTCATCCCCACTCGACTGCAAGCATCTCTCCGCCGACCACTCAGCAGACAGCTTAGCATCACTGAGTGCTGCTCAGGCCGCTCTTTGTCGTCTGTCACTCACTCGTGCCTGCCTCTCGGTCTGCTGCTGGTCTGCTTGCTCGCGTATATCCATCGATCCAACTGCCCCTGACAAGGATGATGAAGGTCCTTAGCGTGCTGCTGTGTGCTGTCGGCATCACTCTGGCGTCGGCTGATCCACAGCCGCCTGCTGTTGCTGCTGCTGCTGCTGCTGGTGCCGCACCCTCTGTGCTGGCGAGACGATTGCGAGGCGGGACAGCTGATGGTGCCGACGAAATCACAACTGAAGGTACGCACACACCCACTCACTCACTCAGTCTGTCAGTCAGTCAGTGTCCGTTGTGTGTTAACGACTGACTGCAGTTGTTGAGCCAGAGGTCAAGACTACCAGCGCGTCATCTGGACCCGACGCCGCCGCCGATCGGAGGAGACTTCTTGGTGAATTCTTTAGAAAGGTCGCCGGAAATTTCAAACGGGGCGTTGCCAATTTTGCAAACGCTGTTGGGGCCTACAATCTTGCGGAGCATTTTCACAGGAAGGCCGACAAGTATTGCGGCTACAATCAATACTGCAGTTATTGACGAAGGAGGAACAGACAGAGGGGCCGGGGACAGACAGGGCTGGGCTGGGCTGGGCAGATCTGTCTGTCTGTCTGCCTGTCGTGCGTGCGCTGCATGCTGCGCTGGCCGTGAGTGAGTGCCGTGTTGATATGAATCACTCAGCCAGCCAGCCAGCCAGCCAGGCAGCACAGTCAGTCAGTCAGTCAGTCAGATGTGTGCATGTGTAGGTGGGTGAGTAATTGTTTGTGTAAGTACTTACCCTAGTGTGTAGATTATTGAGTGTGTGGACTGTGTGTGCGGCACTCACTGAGCACACACACACACACACACACACACATTCCATCGCCTGCGTTTTTGTCCATCAGCCGTGAGGCAGACAGGACAGGAGCCAGATCGATCGAGGACACTCGATTAGTCGATGCTTGCGGGCGGGCAGGCGGGCGTGGCGACGTGGGTGTGGGGTGGTGTGGGCGCTAATCGAGGCGTTGTTTGTGTACGCTAGCGATGCATGGTCGGTCGTGTGAGTCATGAGTGAGCCGTACGTGGGAGGGAGCACTAACTCACTCAGTCAGTCACTCACGTGTGTGTGCGTGCTTCTTTGTCCTACGTCTGTCGGCTCTGTACATCATGTGTATGCGCTGTTCGAGAAGCTGTATGTATGTCATGCCTGCCGTGCAGGAGTGAGTCATGTCTGTGTACCTCTCTCCCTCTCTGTGTCTGCCTCTCTGTCTGTCTGTCTGTCTGTGGCACAAGCATCGCTTTGAGTGCTTGGCCTTTTCGTCTTGTGTGCATATGTGTGTGTGCGCCTAGCTACGTACAGAGTGTGTCAATGAATGAATGAATGAATGATGAGACTCATGAGTGGTGGACAAGTGATGCAAAATAATGACGCTTAGATCGATCGATGTGTTGTCAATTGATTGGTCCATTCATACCAATAGATATCCGTCTGCAGAACCACACGACAATTAATGCGGCGGTGGTTGGTAGAACAGATCTGATGCTATGTCCACTGCAAATGGCCGGCAACAAGTGGCTACATAAGCGACAAGCCAGGGTCGGCAGTGAGAGCGCCCGCTGCGCTGCCGCGCAGACAGACGTCTGAGCTCCTCGACGGCCACTGAGGCCTGCTTGGCCAGGATCAGAGAGAGGAGGGAGGGGGAGTCGCCGAAACAAGCGGCACAGGGTCAAAAAGAGGACGCCGCCCCTGACGAGAGCAGCCCCATGCACCGCAACACAACCAGTACATAAGTATGGGAGGGGCTGACCCTGCTCGCTGAGACTGGATGAGCTGCCGCTACACCGCCGCGACAGCAAGAGCCCTCAGGCTGACGCCGTACGACAGTCGTACGATGCCGTGGAGAGGGACGAGAGGGAGTGTCAGAGCCGATGAACGTCAGCTCAAATAGTCGCTGTCCATAACGAGCGGGCGGTGTTTACTGCGCGGGACGACGAATGCATGGAAGAATGCACCCCTGCCTCTGTCGAGTTAGAGCATGATATGGTAAACGGCATCTTGTCGAAGTGAGCGGCTGCGAGTTGGGAGGCTGGCATGAGTTTGTTTGGCATGGTCTTCGTGTGTGTGTCATCCTGCAGCTGAAGGCTGAAGCGGCGGGCATCGAGCACAGCCTGGACCAGCTGCTGCAATTGGGCGTGCAGACGGGGCGCACCGCTCGAAGACCAGCCCTGCCCTCAGTGAGTCACAGTCGGCCGGCCATGTTGGACGATGAGGTACATCGCAGGCTGATCCGCAGCGAGCGAGAGGTGCGACTCCTCTCTTTAACGCTCAAACGCTCAAAAACGCCTCTCTTTTCTCTCCCTCCCTTCTCTCTCTGCAGTGCGACTGTCTTGGTGGCCTTGTGTCTTTTGCAACGACCCACTGTTGCCAGCCTGAGCTGCCCTCCATCCATCCTCCTCATCCCCACTCGACTGCAAGCATCTCTCTGCCGACCACTCAGCAGACAGCTTAGCATCACTGAGTGCTGCTCAGGCCGCTCTTTGTCGTCTGTCACTCACTCGTGCCTGCCTCTCGGTCTGCTGCTGGTCTGCTTGCTCGCGTATATCCATCGATCCAACTGCCCCTGACAAGGATGATGAAGGTCCTTAGCGTGCTGCTGTGTGTTGTCGGCATCACTCTGGCGTCGGCTGATCCACAGCCGCCTGCTGTTGCTGCTGCTGCTGCTGGTGCCGCACCCTCTGTGCTGGCGAGGCGATTGCGAGGCGGGACAGCTGATGGTGCCAACGAAATCACAACTGAAGGTACGCACACACCCATTCACTCAGTCAGTCAGTCAGTCAGTCATCCACACGTCTGCACTCTCGGACTCGGGCTGGCAATACTTCCTGTGTGTGTATATTATGTGTGTGCAGGTGTCCTGCCTGAGGCTGTTGTGCGTACGGCGGTGGAAACAGCAGACGACAAGACGGAGCAGTCGTCGACAGCTCAGGCACCAGGTATGTGTGCTGCCTGTTCCTCCTGACGCACACACAACCTGTGAGTGGATGTCTGTTGTGTGTTAACGACTGACTGCAGTTGTTGAGCCAGAGGTCAAGACAGCTTCTGAGTTCCGCGAGCTGATAGGCGGGGCGCCTGTGGATCTTGAGTCGGCCCTCACGGCCATCCGGACCGACGACCGCAGCCGCATGACCGTCGACAGCCTCCGCAAGGAGCGTATCAGCGCGTCATCTGGACCCGACGCCGCCGCCGCCGAGCGGAGGGGACTTCAATTTGGTAACTTCCTTGGAAAGCTCAAACAGTTCGGTGGAAATTTCAAACGGGGCATTGCCAATGTTGCTGGGAGTCTTGGGGCCCACAATCTCGCGAATCATATGCACAAGAAGGCCACCAAGCTTCAAAATGATGCCTTTTCGCTTTGCGGCGGTCCCTGTTATTGACAAAGGAGGGACAGACAGAGGGGCCGGGGACAGACAGGGCTGGGGTGGGCTGGGCCGGGCAGATCTGTCTGTCTGTCTGTCTGTCTGCATGTCG